TATCAGTGTACTTTTTATGACCAGCTTGCAATGGTATGTCACTTAGGCACTCCCACTTGATTTCTGATGTTAACAGCTGCCGACATGAAGTGGACTGATTTAATTTCAGTTATAGCTAGGCAGCACGGTGTTACATACACTGATAAGAGATAAGCAGACTGTCTTTTGATGATAAATTTAATTGGATTAGACGTAATGCTGTTACTTCTGCCAGTCATTTTCAATACAGGCTACACACTTTTTAATGATTTTAAAAAATATTCAGCACAACCTTTAGACAAGATTGATTTTTCAATTAGAATTGAATTCCAATCTAGGGTGTCTCCTCATGCTCATGCCATCATTTGGGTGGAAGAAGCCCCAAGTTTGGAATTGACAATAATAAGTTAGTTTGTGAGTTTATAGATAAGTATGTAACTTGTTCAATACCACACGAAGAAGGAAAATTGAAGGAGCAGGTACTTTTATTGCAGCAACATAAGCACTCTTTGTATTGTTGTAGGAACAAAAACTGTCAGTTCAAATTCCCTCATCCTCTGAGTAAAAATACCTTATTTATGAGTCGAACGACTGACAACCATTGTAATGATGCTTCTAAAATATTAACAAAAGTACGTAAAATCTTAGATGATGGAACAACTGATGTCAGACTTACTGATTTGCTAAGATTGGCTGAAGTTGATCCAACAAATTACTCTAGGGCAATAACTTATTCTACTAAAGATAACATTATTGTATGAAAAGGAGAACCATCTGACTGTAATGTCAATAATTACATTTCTGCCATCTGGAAGGCTTGGGAAGCAAGTATGGACATCCAGTGAGTCATAAATGCGTACGGTATAGCGAAAAATTTTTGTGGCCCAAGATTTTCGTGGATGTCGCGTTGCTTCAAAACCCACGAAAATAAAATCCGCGAAAATCAATTTGATACGGTTTAAGATGGCCGAATTGCAGAAAACCATGAAAATTAAAGCCACGAAATTGATTTGTGGACGGATCCATGAAATTTTAGGGCCACGAAAATTTTCCGCTATACGGTATGCCTGCATGATGTATGTTGTGTCATACATTATGACGGCTGAAAAGTCAATGAGTGAATTGCTTCATTCTGTTTCTGAAGAAGTTTAGAACGAAGATTTGACTGTTCAGCTTTGTAGAATAGGCTATGCCTTCTTATCAAACCAAGATTTACCCGCACAAGAGGTAGTCTACAGAATACTTTCATTGCCTTTAAAAATACTTAGTAGCACTGTAGTTTTATCAACACAAACACCAAAGAATTTAGAATTGAACAGTTAAAGTGTAACTGCCCTAATTTTTTGAGATATTTATTTTATTGGCATAATGTGATGGCTTGACCATAGTAATAATGTATACCAACTCTCATTGTTCAAAAAATATTATTCACTGAGATGAGCCTTCAAAAATGCCCTTTTTGCTTCCTGCCGTGTTACTTCCTGTCCGTGGGTGTGGCTAAACGTAACGTCATTAAAGGCAGAGATTCAGCTTAATCCATTGCTGCATATGGGGAAATGATGCTTTATTATCATGCCTTGTAAAGTAATAGCACTAATTTAAAGATTGGGATCATTAGTTATTATTGTGAACATGCAAATACAAGAGAAAGAATCAAAATATCAAACAAGATGATTTACCTAAGTGTGGTATTTTTGAGTTTTTCTTGCAGTTCCATGTTTAGAATAATGAAAGCTAATGATCCCAATCTTAATATAAGTGCCATTGCATTACTAGGCATGAGAACACAGGAACATTTCCCCCTATGCAGCAATGGATTTAGCTGCAACTCTGCCTTCAATGACGTCACATATAGCCACACCTCCCAAAGGAAGTAAAATGGCAGGAAACAAAAATGGCATTTTTGAAAGCTAATATGTCAGTGAATAATTTTTTCAACAATGGGAGTTGGCATACATTTTTACTACTGTCAAGCCATCACATTAAGCCAATAAAATAAATACCTCCAAAAATGGGGCTGTTACACTTAAAAAGACACATCGTTCTTTAATCTAGTTGATGATGATACCAATGTTTTTATGAAAAACCTAATAGATAGATATCAACACAGACCACAAAGCTTACAGTCAATGTCCTTGGCTGATTTTGCTGCAAATTATGTAACTGACTACAGAGTTGGTGATGATGGTGTTGAGGAAGAATCAAGTGATGCATTGCCTATTGATGGCAGTTAGCCATAAACTGAGAAAGAAATAATTTTAACAGGTGGTTTTGGGAAAATAAAAAAAGGGGCAGGGAAGCTGTCATTAGATTTAGATAGTTCAACTATGAATCTGATTCATCAAATTGGTACAGAGCAAAATTAATACTATACTATCCTTGGTATGATGATGTAGACTGGCTAGGTGGTTATTCCACATATAGGAGCATTACAACAATGTTGACTCAATTATTTCTAGTAATGAGAAGAAATATAACTTTGTTTATGTTGATGATATTGATGGGAATGTGGAGGGTCTTCCAGAGCTATCTAGGATAAGATAACCCCTTCTACTGTAGAAGGTAGATCATGTGCTCTTCAAGAGGGCAGCGAAGTGCTTACAGAAGTGACTCAGGAAGACATTTAAGTAAATGACAACATTAACAATGTGCCTCAGTCACTTAGTGTTCGATTTGAAGCTGTCGCAAATGAGAAAATTCCTCCCGATCAATATAGAAAGTTAAGGCGTCAATTTAATTCAAGGCAAAGAGATTTAGTAATGTTTAGTCGTAGGTGGTGCAAAAAAGCTGTTACAGCTTTGCGTAACAACACTGAAGTGGAACCTTATAGTGTTTCTTAGTGGTACTGGTGGTGTTGGGAAGACTCGCATCATCAGATTAGTACAAAGTGACACCATAAAGCTGTTAAGGCTTTCCGGTGAAATTGGACCAAATAATGTAGCTGTTCACCTAACTGCACCAACAGGCGTTGCAGCATTCAATATTAATAGAATGACTTCATTCTGCTATTTTATTTGGTTGTGGTCAACTATGCCACCCGCAACTGAGTAATGAGAAGGCCAACACGCTACATGCACGTTTGAGCAACTTAAAACTCCTCATAATAGATGAGGTGTCCATGGTTGGGTCAAACTTACTTCTACTACAAACAAAAAATCCTCAAATAACGAGTGTTCAGGAAGATGTAATATTTGGGGATGTTAGAGGTGTTTATGGTTGGGTCAAACTTACTTTTACTACTACACAAAAGACTCATTAAATAGTGTTCCCGAAGATGTAATGTTTTGGGATGTTAGTGTCCTTGCAGTTGGTGATTTGTATCAGTTACCTCCAGTAGGACAGGCTCCTTTGTTTTGCTACTGTGAATGATGACTTTTTAGCTTCTTTACATGGGTCTAGTTCCTTATGGAAAGATAACTTTCAAATGATTGAACTGCATGAAATTATGAGGCATCGAGGTGATAGCCTTTTCACTGACCTTCCGTGAAGAGTTCGTACAAATAGCTGTACTGATGAAGACATTAATGTTCTTTAAAGTGGAATTATCACTCCTAAATCACGTGATTATCCAACTCATGCTCTTCATATGTTTCACTTCAATAAAGATGTAGATTATCCAAACAAATTCATGCTAAACAAGCTAGCATCTGAAGAACAGCTTTTGATTTAAGCAACTGGTGATAAACCCATTGACATGTCAAATGGACCAGATAAAAAGACAGAGACCAGAAACCTACATACCACATTAAAATTAGCTGTTGGAGCTGGTGTCATGCTCACTGTTAATGTAGATATCTCTGATGGGCTGGTTAATGGGGCCAGAGGAGAAGTTGTTCACGTTGCAGTGAACAAAGAGAATAGTCCTATTACAATATTAGTCAAATTTGATAACCAAACAGTAGGTTTAAAAGGTACATTTAGTAGTCTCTTTAAGAATACTTTTTCAAATGCAGTACCCCTAAGAAAGCATGAGACTACCTTGCATTTTAGAGGTAGACTTTGGATGGATATTACACGCCTCCAATATCACTCACCTTTGCCTGGGCAACAACCATTCATGAGGTCCTAGGTCTCACTCTTTATGAGATTGTTGTGGACTTGAAAGGTGGACATTTTAATGTTGGGCAAGCGTATGTTGCTTTCCGCAGAGTAAAAAGTCTCCAAGTTTTGCACATATTAAGTTTAACAAATCTGCAATAAAAAAGTGACTGTGAATCAACAAATGGAAGGGCTTAACAACAATTTGTTGTCTCCTTTGCCAGAATTAAAATTTCTTCTTTGAAAAATAGTCACATGACAATTTGTCTTTGAAATGTAAGGTCCATTCATGCCTAAATACCAGATATATTATGTCATAGTAACATCAAAGCTGCCAGTGTTTTCTGTTCTCGTGAAACATGGCTTAGTCCATCATATTTGTCTCCTAAAATATGTGATGGTCACATGTAGTCAGGTGTGATAGGCAATCTGATAATAACAAAGGGGTAGTAGTAATGATGAGTGTCGATCCCAGTGTTAAAAATTATGACGTTTCAACTTTTAACAGTGGCGGCAACATTGAAGGCATTGTTGCCAAATTGCAGTTGCCCAATTCTTCAGACATAGCTCTTGCTTTGCTATACAGATCTCCCAGTACAAGCCCAAGAGTTGGAACATGGACCAGTCCTGAATCATTACTGATGATCGAGCCTGGACCAAGGATTTGGGGCAATGTCCTAATTTGATATCGACGAATCAGCCACAATTTATGCTGGTGCCAGACCTGATCCGACAACGATAACGATATTTATTAAGCCTCATTATGACGTACTTCCTGTTATGCTTAATTAATACTTAATTATTATTAATGTAAAATGATTTGGAATTATTATTAAAACCAAAAAAAGGTTACAATTGTTTTCTTTATCATAGTCTACCAATGTTCCACAAGTAAGACACTTCATGTTTTGTAAATTGAGACACCTACAGAGCCATAAATTAAGAAGGCACTAAAACAATAAACTTACATTACAGAGAAATTAATTTCCCAAAATCTCCAACATTAATTAACTCTCGGGTTCCATGTAGTGAAGCAGATCTTTCAAAGGTATCATGTCACACATAGTCCTACAAAGCTTAGTTCCATAACATAACTATAATGAGGCATAAATTCTACATAAGCAAAGGAACTACATACCTTCCTTAACCAGCATGATGAAGGCAGGTTCACAAAAAATTTCAATGCTATTTGAAGTGAACTATAATGACAAATGTGACCATAATTGACAAAAGGTACCTTATGGCGGGTAGTGAAATTTGTCTTTCTAGCCTAAGAAATCCAACTTCCTTAGCCCCATTCATCATAAAATTACTCCACAGGATGCAAAATGTTACCATGAAACTTTTAGAAACAATGATTGTCTAACAAAGCACTCACAGGTTGATATTTTCCATTATAACGATCAATTTTAAAATCCGCCATGAGGGCCCTTTTGTCAATTATGGTCACAAATGATGATAATAAATTAAAACACTATGATTAAACTGACCTTAACAAGAGCTTTAAACAAGAAAGTTTCAGTTCATGACAACCTGAATAATGAATATAGCTTTTCACATGAAATTAAACAAACCTAAGATATTCTTGTCTTGAAACTTAGTGAGATAAGGTCACTATAGAATGTATACTAGTGGCCTTGCTAAATTAATAAATTAATATGAATTAAAGGAGCACCTACTATACTAATTTTTGTAGAATAATCTTCTGCATCAAAAATTCTAATGAAAAGTAACAATTACACATATAATTAATAAACTATTTTACCACAATTGTGACTATCATTCATATAAGTCTCTCAGTACAATATCTTCATCATCATGATCACTAATACATTCACCCTAATTAATAACATAGTGACAATCACATGTAGTGAACCATTTTTATGCCTGATTTCTCATCGTCTTCACTAGTGTCATGATTATTGCAGAAAGGTCTTCTGGCTATATTTCAATGCTTGGCTCAATACTAGAAAGTTAATGGAGAATCCATAATGAAAGGTATGTACTTCTAATTATAGTCAATTAAACTGGTCATTAATCTCACAATAATAATTAGCCTAAATTTATTATAAGTTTGTTCATGCAGTTTATACCCCTTTGATTATTCCTCATAAACCCGGGTCTTTACTTTCGTATCATAGAGATTTTGTAGGCAAGATGTGGTAAACTTTAATTGGAAGGTGTCAGTCGTTTTATTTTCCAGTCATGTATCTGCTCAATTAATTTGTTTAGCTTGATTGTGTATCTACATGTGCCAACTTTTTACTCAAAATATCGTTTATCCTACTCATGTTTATGTAATAAATGGTTCAAAATAGCCTAAAAATAGTATAACATTAATGATGTAGTCCACGGTACTCACAAAACATCCAGTGATTTAGCCCTAGTGCATACAGCCAACAAGATTCCTCTTAAAGGGTAACTAAGATTATTTTTTTTGATTTTTCAATAATCAAATCACAGTATCTATACAACAAATGAACAACAGTTATGCACTTATTTCCATCAAAAAGTCTTTCACTTGCAAGAAAGTGCTCTTTACATTTCATCTTTTTTGTTGGCAGCCATCTTCTTCCTGTTTCAGCAACAATGCAGGGGAGTGCAATTTGTGATGTCATCAGATGAATTGATGGCTGTTCCTTGCATCTCTTTCATGCAGAATAGATATGTTAAAGAATATGTGGGTTTATCAGCTAAAAGAAGAACTTGAAATGAATGGTTAGGCCCAAGAATGTGCTTCATTTGTATAGCAATCATATCACCATATCATCTGGAAGTGGAAGCAGTATAAACTTGTCCTTGTTTTGTATTATTGCAGCTATTATAACACATCTATTCTACATGAAAGTGATGCAAGGAACAGCCATCAATTCATCTGATGACATCACAAATTGCACTCCCCCGCATTGTTGCTGAAACAGGAAGATGGCTGCCAACAATAAAGATAAAATGTAAAGAGCATTTTCTTGCAAGTGAAAGACTTTTTGATAGAAATAAGTGCATAACTGTTGTTTATTTGTTGTAGTATAGATTCTGTGATTTGATTATTGAAAAATCAAAAAAAATAATTTTAGTTACCATTTAAAGTGTCAGATTAAGGTGATTTTCTTTAACAAAACATGTCAGATAGTCCACAAGGGGCTGCCAACTTGAAAAGCATCGATCTGATCCAGTACTGATGTACAGCCTGGACTAGTGTTGACGAACAGGCATTACTGTATCAGCTATGACTACATCAAGACTGAAATAGATACTAGTCCAGGCCAGAGCAACAGCCTCGATTCAGCAGTGATGGCCGTTGATGCTGGACCGTTATAGAATCAAACCTGGTCCAGGCCTGATACCCATCATTCACGGATCATGCATGGTAACTCTTGGGTGTGTAGCACTATGGATTCATTACTTAGTACAGTAAATGCCATAAGAGATCATGTAAATGGTTTTGGATTTCAACACTTATACTTGGACATTTTAACTTTGATTTATTATCTTGTAATTATGATACCAGATTAATCAATTTTACGACACTTCACAATTTTAATGAAATTGTAAAGGAGCAAACTACTGATCGTAGCTGACTAATCGATCACATTTACTATAACAGATCGATTTCTGACCTTGTTAATGAAGTGTCAGATACATATTATAGTGACCATGACACCATTTTTTGTTCATTATCACTATGATATTATTATTAAGCACTTTTACCCTTTATGGGTATGATAGTGCATAATCCCCAATGGCTCAATGCACCTGAATGAATTGGTTCTTCAAATTTTGGCATAGAGCCCGGGGTTTATATAAGTACCGTAACCACTGTTAGTTACATTGGTACAGTGACTCTAAAGGGGTACAACATGGCATACCACATGAACATATTTAATACATGCATTACACACACTTTGTAACTACACATAAACTAGGTAGCTTTGCACACACAAATTTTGTAATTAGAAAAGCAGGAGGAGATAGTCTAGTAAGGATGTCATTTAACACATAAATGTGACCATAATTGACAAAAGGTACCTTATGGCAGATTTTTAAGGTACAACGGGCTGAACGCACAATTTAGTTTTCGGAACACAAATTGTTTCCTTTATACTTTTTCTACAACATATAATTTTTTCAATTTTTTTCTCAATAGTGAGATGCAATAAACTTTACTAAACTTTTTAAAATGGTTGAAAACTGAGTAAAGAATTCTTGAATATAATAAGAGTACTTTAATTTTTAGTAATATGATTGTTTTTATAATATTATTTTCTATTGACTTATGTTCCATCACTTGGCAAAAGTTCTTTAAGTTTTGCAGAATGGGCTGCAATCTCTCATAGAGTTTTGTTCACTTTCAAACATCAGTGTATCACAAAAGCATTCACTGCATACAAACTTGATTGAGTGTTTGCCTTCATTATGCCACGATTGCAAGCTTTAGAGCTTCGTAGAGCGTGCATTCACCAGATGAAACAGCTAAATGAACAATAGTCAGGAAATACATACTGGCGGCCATTTTTATTAATGGTTTGACTAATATGACATCATAACTTAACCCCACTTTGCAATTTATTTTTCCCGCCAGTTTTATAATATACGGAGGTATCCAGAAATGACACAAGATCAAAGATGGCATATAAAGTATGAAAAGTTATGCAGGAATGTTCTTAAATATTTAAAGTTCAATGATCTATAACTTCTAAACAGTGCATGGTAAAAATTTAAAAATAGCACAGGTTGTACAACTTTTTCTTTGCTATAAAATAGCAGCAATTAAAAAAATATTAAAATTTCATCCAAAAGTACCTTAAATTCATCATTATAATGAAAAATATCAACCTGTGAGTGCTCTGTTTGACAACCATTGTTTCTGAAAGTTACATGGTAACTTTTTGCATCCACTGGAGTAGTTTCATGATAAATGGAGCTCATGAAGTTGGATTTTTAAGGCTATAAAGACAAATTTTCCTATCCGCCATAAGGTACCTTTTGTCAATTATGGTCACAAATGATGGTTATCAATCTTTTCATTCTATTAGGAACGTAAAGAAAAGTTTACTTGCTGTGGTCACTGTATTTTCAATTCAACAAAAAGAAGTATTTTTGTACACTATTATAATACACGTAATTCAATTTGATTTTGCTTAAAATTTTAGTTTACTTTATAGATGTACATACATTTGTTTTATGATTTAGCAATTTAATGTGTGCACAATGTACATCAAGTTTTGTATTTATGCATGATTCATGTCTGTTCGTTTCTTTATACATAGTTCATTTTTTAAATAGGTCATCTAAACAATAATTATACATATACAATTGTACATGTATTGGATTACACTCATCACATTACCTCTATAATTGTACCTGATTATGGTAAGTTAGAATATTGAATTACTGTAATTCTTGTTAAGCATCATATTTGTAACCTGATATGCTCTATTTTTTTTCTCTCTTTCCTTTAAATAATTCCCATTCTTTTAGACTAGGCTCTTTCTCTTTGATTTATGTTCCTATGGTTTGAAGCCCATTAAACAGCCACACGCTACCTCTTCTGTCTTTCTATGTCTTCTCATCTGGTAACTTTTGGCAATGCGTTCACCAATTCAACACAATCTAATGTAATGTATAACTTGGATAGAGGAAAGGAAAGGAAAATGGAAACTAGAGTCAGTAAATGAGGAATGAAATAGGTATAGCTAAGTTTACCTAATCATAATTTTTGTTCTACACGGATAGAATTTTAGCCACTATTCTCATTGTACTTGTATGGCTAAACAAGTACATGTCTCTTATGTTTTCACTGTTACCAACCAAGTATCATTTCATCTGAATCAGTAAGCATAAACATGTGTGCATCCTCAGTTTTAAAGTAATACAATTTGCTTATTTTGTGCCATTTTGTGTATATGCTCTATTATTGCTGAATCAGCACAGTGTATTGTTAGTTAGTACTGCTCTATTACATTGTATATAGCATTAATTACAATATAGTGTACGTTATCACAACAAATGATGTCATTGTTTACACAAAGTTTAGCCATGAAGAATAATAGTTGTTGAGTGTATCGTGTCTATTTCTCACAATCTCATTTACTCTCACTCCACTCTCTGAAATATCTTTTCTCCTCTCTCCAAGAAAACAAGAAGAGACCTATGCACAACATTTTTGAAGACTAGCATAAAGTAAAGAATTAAATTAGACCAAAAGGGAAGTGTACATAACACTAATAATCGTACATGTACACATGTATTATGCATATAATACTTGTAATTTGTATTGAATGCTAAATTATATTACATCTTTTTGTACATTACATGTAGAAGTACATGAAGCTTGTGTATTGCAAACAATTTATTAAGAATGTGCTTTTGACAAATGATTAGAGCTATGTATTGTTGCAGCATTCAACTTTTATTGGATTTATCCATATTTTATAGAGTATAAAATTGATTAGTAGGTTAGGAGGAATCATTGAAATCAGATAAATTATCAATCATTAAGGGACCATTGCATTGTCCCTCTTTTACATCTCAACATTTAAGTTTGATGGAAAAACAGAGAGGAAAGGGAGACCAGAGGCTTTGAATGACAAAGTCACATACACAGTATTTCTCATTATTTAGTGTGTTTCTTATTCTTTATACAAAGAGTGAATCTCGACTATATTGATAAGGTAAAATTTTGAATTGATTCTTTACATGTAATTTTTCTACGTTTTAGTTATTATTATTAAGTTGTACACTTGATCATTGCACTAAGAAAGGAGCAACATACTGGGTTTCAACTCTCCCCTTAACCTTTCTGGATTTCCACCTCCACTATCTTGCTCTTGGAGATGCCATTCTTCTTCAGTGAAGATGGATTATTCCTGACGCTCCATCTGACTGTATGTGTGGTCAGCGTTTCTCCCTGGACTATGCTTTGTCATGCCCTGCATGTGATTTACAACTATCTGCCATAATGAGGCTTGTGACATCACTGCTACATTATTATCTGAGGTTTATTCTAATGTTTAGGTAGAACCCCATCTGCAACCACTCATAAATGAACACTTCCCCCTTCAGATGGCTCATTGTGATCAAAACACTGGTCTTGATGTAATGTTGAATGGCGTGTGAAGAGAAAGGTTTGAGACAACATTATTTTGATGTCCGTGTATTTAATCCTTTGTAACATTGACCCTATCCATTACATATAGATAACAATAGAATGACAAAACAAACCATGTGAGTAATGTGTTATTCCCTTTCTCTCCTTTGCTTTTTTAATTATAACTACTACAATCATTTTTATTGTCAACATTGTTGTTTGTTTTCGTTTTTTATTACTTTGTTATTATTGTAGTGGTTGTTATTATTATTATTATTAATATTATTATTATTGTTATTATTATTAATATTATTATCATTGTTATTATTATTATTATTATTATTATTATTATAAAAACCAACCAAATGAAGAAAAAAAAAACAAAAAAACCCAAAAGGATGCTATTATAATAATAATAATTATTATTATTATTATTATCACTATTATTATTATAACAAGAAATATAACAGCATAAGGTGGACAAGAAAATATAGCAATATAAGGCAGAACATAATATAAATAAAATAAAATGAAATAAGACTATAGTGAGATTTGATAAGTTTAATGTTAACTGGTGAGGATAGATAGTAATATTCGCTCGAGATTATTGGTGCGAATGTTAGCTCTCGTGCCTCTCACACATAAATTGGTGGCCCTTCATAAAGCAAATGAAAGTCTAGTGTATCCAGTAAATGACTGTGCTGTATGGTCGATCCCACTTGATAGACAGTTTGTCAGCCATACGCTTCAAGAAGGTGTTTGTCTCTGGGCCAAACAGACCATCCACTGTTACAAAGATGAGTAAAGCTGCAGTGGATTGAGTTGCGAGCTTCTCAGTACTTGTTCTTCTTATCTCTCTCTGCTGTCTTGTAGTGGTGGCTTCCCAGTATAAGAAGAGCATCTGAGTCTACTACCCTTACATCAAAGATGGTAGTAGATTGTGACTGCCAGACTCCGCGTACTGAGATGTCTCCAATTAGACCATCCAAACCATTCCGTGCTACTGGTTCCTTGATTACCTGGCTCCAGGCCAAAGAAGACATATCATAAAGTACATCTCTTATCCCATTATGTCGGAAAGTTCATACAGTCCAATGCATCAGAAGTGGTGAAAATATTACTGCAGCCATCACATCTTTGGGGAAGATTCAGTAAGGGTTTAGCATATTGTAGACACAGAGCGTCTCTAAATTCATTGCAGGATAAGTCAAAGTTGTCTTTTATAACAGGAAGAACGTTTCGCCAAGAGGATAGACAGTCCCTTGTACGTTTGATAGTTCTCTTATTATCATTTAGGGAAGAGAGAGTGTGGGTGAAGGTGGAATTATCCACTTTCCTTCGAGATAGTGAGTGACTTTCCTAGCAGAATGCACTTGGCAGATGTAATCGTATGATGAGAAAGGAGTAGCACCAGTAACAGCATTAATTGTTTACAGGCTGATCTAGAAGCCGTGTAATGGGCAGCAGCTGTTGTAACAGGGTTCCTTATACTTAACCCTCCTAGTCTGAGTTGGAGAGAACAATGACTTGTCACTGGTAGAACACTCTTGACCAAACAGGCATATAACTGACCCAAGTCTGTAAACAGAGACTGACAGTCAGGAGTCACATGTTGTAGAAAGGTACATTCATTCTGAAGTGTTTTGGTATAGGCACAGTAGGCGGCTTGTGGCTGTGTGACAGCTATGTCAGATAATACAGTAATTAAATTAATCCAACCTTGTACCTTCTTAGTAACAAAACCTTTACAGCCCTTAATGTCACCAATGACACTGCCGAGAAGATGGTTACCAGTAGTGATCTTGATGCCCAGGTCACCAAAGAGCTTTTGAGCTTGAAGAACCATTAATTCCTTGACAACAAGACAACTCTTGTGGGGCTCTGGGTAGTAACCCAACTTAGGACCTTGTGATAGCAGATGATCAAACTACTCTGATAGCTCTCCAGTAACTGAGGCATTGTCAGCATACCATATCTGGGTTAGTGTAGAGATGAACACCTTGAGTGTCTGAATAAGTGGAACAGTACCTACTGCATAGACGAACATTGACAAAGGATCCCCTTGAATCACTCCTTCACAATTAAACAGAGCTTAAGCATATCCCTTAATAATCAGGGGGAGTGACTCTTGTAATTATGTATTAAACACAAATCTAGATGCCCTTGGCCAAAGTATCCTAATATTCCATAGGAGTGATGAACGCTTGAGCGAGTTAAAAGCATTCCTAGCATAAACCATTAGTAGTCCCCAATCACGTGAACTAAACATATCTCTAGCATAGTGTATTGCTCCCTCAATGCTGCATTGAACACCAGTGCATAACTGGCTGGAACCACACACCTCCTCAGCATCATTCCTAGTAATCAGACAAACAACCTTAGATATTATATGTCAGAGTGTTTCACCGATACCTATAGGACAAATACCGGGATGTTTATCTAAAGCAATAAGTCTATTAGCCAAAAGGGCTCTAATTAAGTTCCAGTCTACAATGGAATTACTCAACAAAGTAACAAGTGAAGCCACTGCATCCCAACGAGAGCTATGGGGGCCATAACGTAATGAAACGTCTTTCCAATGTTAAGAATCACAACTACCAAGACCACCACTTCCCTGAATCCTGTGAGCAGCAGTGGCAAAGTGTGAGCCAGTAATATCAATATCTTCAATAGGAGAAAGTTCAGTATCTAACAGTAAGGTTAATGAGCAAGGTAGTTAAGGTTCGGGTGTTTAAGTTTCATGGCATTAACAACTTTAATGGAGCGGGTCTGACTATCAACTGTAGCTGCACAGAGTCAGTATGGAGTAATAAGCCACGTCGAAATTCACCTGACAACCATTGCATAGCTGCCTTTACCTTGCCCGACAAAATCAGCCTGGTGAAGACCTAGGCAATATGAGCAGGAGACTGGTTGCTACTCAGTCTCTTCTGGGCCAAATAAAAACAACAATCACATCTAACTGCCTCTTGAACGAGCAGATCAAATTTCTCTACTGACCACATTGATAGACGTCTGTCAATGATACGTTGGGACTTCTTTAGCACTCTTAACCATCTTGTCTTTTTGTAGCATGACAGAACTAAAAACAACTAGTCTCTCAGAAGCGTGAATTTGTTAAGGCAGTTGCTTGATTTCCTCAGTTAGCAATGCAATGTAATGTCGACCCACAGCACCTATAGGCACAAAGTAATGAGAACCTGTTAGTTGAGTGACAGAGTGCCACCGGGAGGATCATTCAAGACTAATGGTGAAAGAGTTTTCGGAAGTGTCACAAGCCTCCATCAGAAGGTTCTGGACTTCACTCTGTTGTAAAACACGAGTGTCACCTTCCAGGCTAGTATCCCTGTCCTCAGTGTTGGGAACAAAGGAACCAGCACTTGGAGAAGACGCACTTATGGAAGAAAGATCGGGGGTAGAACTAAAAAGATGAATGGATTCCTGCGGTGGTGAAGGAGAATGGGCTAGTGATTGCCTTGATGGTAAGTTGTGGCAGGTACCTAGCCTCTTTGCGTCACAAGACACACCCAACTGATGGTTCTGATCACAGTAACACCTAATACAACGAGACCGACTACTATAACAGGAGCAGCAACGATCCGCCATCTTTTTATTATTGTTATTATTATTATCATTATTGTTATTATTATTATTAATATAATGAACCCAAAAACAAAAACTAATTAGAGCTAATTATAGAGAAAAGCAAAAAAGGAGAGGAAAGGGAAGGCCCTATGAGGAAAAAATACAATAAAAGTAAAACAAAGAAACTATACATGTGTTAACAAAAACTAATAACAAAGGAAGAAGGAGTAAGACCTGCCCATCCACATTGGGTGGAAGGATAGGGGAGCGGTTCAACCACAGGTGAGCATTAGTGCGCCACAGTGCGACCAAAAGTCTCTGGATTAGATGTAGGGACACCTTTTACTGATCTAGCCCCAGGCGAGAAGCTAGATGACCAGTGATGGTGCGGAACACATAAACGGCTGCCTTACTCCAACATCACAGAGACTCCACAGCTACAGGCTGAAAGATGACACCAATCTTACGACACCCCTCTAAATGCACAACATTCTTGCGTTCCTCAGCAACAAGAAGGGCATACCTGTGCTCTGAGGCAGCTTGTGAGAGGGTCTGCTGCTGCACTGGAGACACAACAGTGACATCCAAAGCTGCT